GGTTCGTGGCGGGATCATTAGCCAAAGTGATTTCTAAACCCTAAGCCCAAAATTCCTTCCTGACACTTAGCTCTAAACGATTTTTTTTTCAGTTTTCAGTGTGTCCGGGGGTACCGGAATTGTAGCGTTGCTTAATGCCAAAGAAGGTCTCTCCTTTGCCAGACCCATATACGACCGCGGCCTGGCGTCTATCTGTTTTGTCTGCGGTATCACTAAAATGGCGATGGCATGAGGCGGAGCCGTGCTGCTGTCACTGGTGCCGCCGCCCCGCTGGCTGCAATTGCCATATTTGTGGTAAACAGAAAAAGAAATGCGGGAGGATCGTCAACCAACACAGCGGCTTTACGGCGTGCGGGAAACGTCGTGGGACCGCTTTATTAGGTACCAAGGGATTACCCATTGGCATTGTGGCAAATATGGTGTGCATACACAAGTGTAGGTTTACGACGGGCTAGTCTTGGTTAGTCCCATGGCGGCGATCGATGCATTGTCTGGGCCCGAAACGACACGGTGGCGGGGCCAAAACCTCTCCGGGTAGCCGCTAGGCGTCACCCCCTTGATAAGGTGCTTTGACAAAACGCCATGCCTGTGTCGCCGTCAATGGTGTGGGTAGTTCTCGCTTGTAGTCTCTTAAGTGGATTTTGCGCCCGTGGTCATCAACCAAAGATGATGCCGTAGCTCATATACCAATCGATGAGGGCGATGCCTAAACCGATGCCAAACAGGTCCTACTAGAACACGCGGTTGATGTAGCACCATTTCGTTGTCAGGCGGGCCTTTCTCCTTAATTCTAGGTTTAGCAAAGACAATGCCTCTCACTTGGCCACAAAACTAATCGTGGTGCACCTGAGATAGCTCAATATTGGTCTTGCCAATTGGTCTAAGTGTTCGCATTTGAGTCTCTCTATAGTTATGGTTCACTCGAAAGTTGTGCCCTCAGTGTTCCATTGAACCATGGAGAACCCTCACTCGTATAAACGTTAAAACAAATGGGGTCAAAATTTAGGTTGATGGTTCGGGCCGAACCCGAATATAGCGAAGGCACGGGTTGCTTTAGCGTGCATCACCATCTTGAGCCAAATGTAGCAAATTGGCTCCCGATCGGGCGGATAAACTTTTTTTTCCCTTCGTCCTTCCTACGGTGTAAATTAACGATATCGACTTCGCAACCCATTCCGAAAAAGTCTTGTGAGTCGACAATCTCGGTGGACATCGAAAATGGGTGAACTACGGCCACCAGGACGTTACTATGAGATTACGTCGTTGCTTAGCTCCAGGTAATAAGGGCAAAAAAGATCGTCAGCTAGAGGATTCGAACCTATGCGCTCAGAGAGCATGTGATGGTTAGAACGAGATTCTAATCACACTCCTTAACCAACTCGGACAAACTGACTTTCCGAGCAAATTTGGAAACTGCTTTGTGATACCAGACAAATTATACGCCACTTTTTTGGCCAAATCCGCCTCAATTCTGTTCTTATTCACCCGATAGCTTCATCTACAGTAAAATTACCGTTCGCGTGTATTACTCGAATTACCTCTCTATCCCACGACCGTCTCTATCCCTAAATAAATCCCATTCCAGTCGCCGATATATCCCAGATATTAGTTAAGATTCAACGAGTTCATAGATCCCAAAAGATTGAACGCCAGATCCGACTGGCCCTGTTGCGGTTGCTGCTGTTGCTGCTGATGCGGTTGCCCGTGGAACGGGAACGATTGCCGCAGAGGGGTTCTTTGCCCCAACGCAGCTGCCGCCGCTGCTGCCGCCAGATTCACCGTCGGCGGTGCCGGGGGCCCCCACTTTTGCGTGTTGAACAGCTCGGCAACGGAGCTGCCCAACAGGCCCATCAGCCCCAGCCCCATCAGCGCGAGGGAGTCGCCGGTGTGCTGCGGCTTCTGCTTGGCGTAGGTCAACAGGTTGTTGCGCAGCAGCTTGTGCGGCGTCAGCCCGTTCAGCAGCAGCGCCAGGTAGAGCAGCGGCGGCGCCACAAACCCGTTCACCAGCAACGGCTGGCCCAGGGCGGTGGCAGCGGCGATCGCCGCCGCCGTCGGGTTCACCGGGTGCGCCACCGGGTTGTGGTGGTGGTGCGGGTGGTTTTGGAGCATCGCCGGTTTCGTCAGCTGGCATTTCAAGCAGCAGATGTTCTTGGCAAAGTTGTGGTACATACACACGTCGCACTTCCAGTCGCCGGCGCGAAACGGGACGTTATTCGGGTACGGCTGGCGTGGCTGCGGGGCCGGCGCCTGGTAGTTGCCGTAGTTGCCGTAGGACAACGCGGTGGCGGCGGCGGCGTTGATGAGGTTGGTGTTGAACTGTTTGTCCGGGTCCGTCTGTCTTCTCGGCGGCGCCAGCAGCGGCTGGCCCAGCAGGTAGATCAGTTCCTGGATCGNGTCCGGGTCCGTCTGTCTTCTCGGCGGCGCCAGCAGCGGCTGGCCCAGCAGGTAGATCAGTTCCTGGATCGCCACTGCCAGCAGCGCTGGGAACAGGCACCGGAAACAGTGGGTGCGCCGCTGGAAGTTGCTGAAGCCGCACAGGGGACACGTCCAGTCGCCGGGGCGGGGGCGGTTTTTCGACGGCGGGAACGGCGTCAATACTTCGGCGGCCAGGTCGAGCACCCGCGTCAGCAGCGGCTGGACTTCGATGGCGCGGTCGTTGAGCACTCTGCCGTTCATCGCCAACAGCTCCGTCGCCTCTTCGTGGGAGCCGAACACGGCGAAGCCGGCGATGCCGTGGCCGTTGTTGGCGCCCAGCCGCCACAGCTTCGGCGCCAGCGAGGCGCCGCCGTCGGCGTCGGCGTGTTTGAGCGTCCAGAACGCGATGGGGCGCCCGCCAAACTGGGTGAACCACAGCTCCAACTCCAGCTGGGTGGTCCCCGGGGGCAAGTTCGCCAAGTACAAGATCTTCAGCCGCTCCTGGAGGAACACCTTGACGTCCTGGGCCAGGTCGTAGGGCTTGGTGAGCACCAGCGGGTGGTCTTCCACCGGCATCAGCTTGCGCACCAATTGGGCGAGAATTTGAGTGTAGATGTGCACTGTCAGCGGCGCTTTCGTTTCTGCCGTGGGCGAGTTGTCGTCGACATCAACCTCCAACGCGGTGATCACGTTCTGAAGCGACGACGGCGGGTACAGCAACAGTTCCGGGTGGTACTGCTGCCACTTGGCGTACTCCACCGCCAAATCGAAAACTCGGGGGTGTTGGAGGTAGGCGGGTAGCGCCACCCCTTTATCTCTCGCTTCGCGTGGGAGCTGCACCCTCAACTTGGCGATGTCGGCGGTGACGAAGGAAAACTCGAGCCCCTTGCCGATGAGCTCCCGCTGGACGTAGGCGTCAAACTGTTGCACGGCGTCCTTAAACAGCCCTGCGGCCCGCACGTGTTCCCACAGCACCCCGTGGAGCTGGGAACAGTAGGGGGTGATCGGGGTGTTGACCGGGCGCACCAACACCAGCTGGCGGTGGACGGTGGCGAGCAGCTGGGCGTCGACGACGGCCCACGCCCACTCGATGACCTCGGCCAGGTCCTTGGTGACGTAGGTGGTCGACTCGTCGCAGGTGGTGGCCACATGCACCACCACGTAGATGTCGCTCATTCGGTTGCACTCGCTCAATGAACTCGCTGGAAGTTTTTCGCGAAGAGGCCACTGGAGTCGTGGGGTAGAAAAACGAGCAACGGGCACAGAGTGTGAAGGAGTAGAGGTGATGAAAGGATTGTAATATTATAGATTTGGATGCTTATTTTGATATGAACGATGGTCTTTCTAAGTTTTCTTTCTTTGTTGTGTTCTTTTTCTGTTTTTTTTGTTTCTGTTGTTGGTGTGGCGGTGGTGTTATGATTTTTGTCGAAGGAGGGGGGAGGCGAGTGAGACACTCGCGTGGCTGAGGAAACAAGGAGGCTATGAATTGATAGTGGACGATAAAACATCGAAATGTGGTGGTTATTGGTGGAACAACTAGGGTAGTTATGGTTAGTTATGAGGATCTTGGGTTAGTGGCATTGGAGTCACTAGAGTTTGGTTAACTTTATGTCCAAAGACCTAAGAAGCCAATAATCTTGATAATGGTGAATAAATAGTTCCTGATGGTATTAGTCTAAAAGTACATTGCTTCGGTTGACTACATACCATTCGAAGAGTTTATTCCCTTGATAATTGTCGTTTATGGAAGGTACGTAAAAGGGTCTCGTACCTATAGTGGTTATGGCTCAATCACAAACCAACACTGATGAATCATCAAGCAATTTCGTGTGTCAAGAAGGATCGCCTGTATGCAGACAGAATAAGAGTAGTACCATTTTGTAATGGCTATTTATTTGCAGAGAATTAAACTTGGATAAGACAACTTGTTATTCATCTTAGATGTGAACACATTCTCTTCCTATTTCATTTCATCACAATGAAACGAGTAGTAGTCAACGCTTCTAAATTTTCCTATGCGTTTGATAATCTATAGAACCAATGTGGATTCAGAAAATGGCAGAGTCTAGCCTCCAGACTATAAGGAGCTTACTTCGAGAATGCCATCCTCAACATAATCATTGACAACGAAAACTTATCAATACTCAGCTACATAATCAGGGACTTCTCCAATCGTTATTCGTGGTGTTTTCAATTTTCCACTAGGCTCCACCACCATTGTTATCAGTGCTTCGCACCACGCTCATCGCCATGCTTTGCGACCTCAACGTCCCGTGGCCCGGCGACTTCACCCGCAAACCGAGTGCCGACGAGTTCCGACGGCTTCGCCAGGTGGTGATTACCCTCAGTCATCTCGGCTATACTCATATCGCTTTTAATCTCACCGTCCCTGGCGATTCCAAAATCACGCTGCCTCAACCCATCGATGTCTCCATCGTTAAAGACATCCCCATAAAAGTGTTCACTCGAATCACGTTGATGGTACTGGATCCAGCTCAGTGCCACCTGATTGCTAAGCTTAATAACCAGTTTGACCTCATCAGCATCCAGCCAGAGTCAGAGAAAGCCCTCATCTTCGCTGCCGGGCTCGACATCGACATCATCACCTTCGCCCTGGGGGTGAAGTTGCCTTACTATTTGAAACACAAGACGGTGTGTGGTGCCACCGACAAAGGGATCAAGTTTGAGTTGCCGTACGCGGCGATGGTGATGGGGTACGAGCCGCTTGTGCTGACGCCGGTGGGGCTGCCACGGACGAATTTCTTCTACAACGCCCACCAGTTGATCCGGCTGCTGCGGTCTCGGGGGCTTATTGCCTCGCTGGGAGCCCAGGCGCTGAGCCAGTGCCGTAGTGGCCACGACATTACCGTATTGCTTAAGACGTTAGGGTTGGACTCTGCTCGCGCCAAAGCCACGGTATCAGATAATCCTGAACGGGCGTTGTTGCGGGGCCGGTTGCGGATCAAACTGTATAAGCAGACGGTCGAACCCGTCGACCGAGATCGCAAACGGGGCGGCGACACCGATGCCGTCAGACTACTAAAGCGAGCCAAGCTAGGCGCAAAGCAATCATAGTTAAATACACTAATAGCATCGAATATCAGTTATTATACTCTCTGGTCATAATTCATTCTATCGTTGAATTAGTTCGTGGGAACAATGACCGACTATGGCTTCGATTCCCATCGATTCCATAAAAGATAAATCTGACGTTGTCTTACATCTCGTACCTAAGGATACAATGGTTGTAGTTAGAATAGAATGTTAATCAATAGTAGAATCTGATTATCTATAAGTTGGCCATGTTCGAAGATACATTATTAAACCTATTTGCTCACTCTATAATATATACACGTTAGGATTCGTTATGGGGCAGGCGCCAGGGACGAGTGAACGACACCCCTTGTACGTTGCGGAAATCGGTACCATGGAACACCCCCGTTTGGAGCTGGTGGTAGTCATCGTGGCTAAAATTCTTTGGGTCTAAGAGCCCCAAGTCATGGATATCATACCCCAACTTGTGCTTGTGATTAGCCATATCCAAGATCCGACAGTTCTCCCAGAATGCCGTGTGGATCGGTCGAAGCTTAAACATATGGTTAAACGGGTAATTCCACCGTTTGCGTCTCGTACTAACATCCTGGCCAATATTCATCCGATCACACTCGTAGTGGAACATCAGCAAAAGGTAGAGACACTCATGGTTATCCTCGATCACCTCAATGAGCTTGGTGATCTTCGCATCGACGGGGCTCCGCTCGAGCCGGTCCTGCTCCTGGTCAACTTCCTTCACGTACGCGAGCGACTTGACAATGAGATTATCCTTGACGAAATCCTTAGACCGAGACGAGTAATTTCGAACCACTGCCAGTCGTATTATGGCCAGCCCAAGCCCTAGCCGTGGCGCTATTATGGCACCCCGTGCAAGCATGTTGGTTAGCGTAGTGCGAAGCGTCGAACCTGTTGGCTGTGAATCTACAAGAATTCAGCAAAAACTGAGGAAACAGCACTAGACCAACACCACCCATGAGGATGGCAATAATAAATCCCAAAGGGGAATTTCACGTGACTGACACGTCTTCACTGGCTACAGTATATATTATTACACATATTCAAAAAACAACGTAAAGCACATAAAATCAGAGTCCTGGTATTAGTGTTCAAATTGGGAGTACAAAGCCACCGCCACGTTGGCCACGCCCACCACCACGGGGACCAGACGCAACACCGCCGTCACCTTGCCGTAGTGGCCGATAGCAATCAAGATGTAGTTTAAGAACGCGTTGATGTATCCTTCGCCCGAGAACAAGTCTTGCTTGCCGTTGTTGCTGATGTAGTAGTAGATCACCGCCTTCGACAACGCAAACACAAACGGGTCGTAGTCGTGGACGCGGCCCACGAGGTCCAACCCGTCAAACGTCAAGATTCTCGTGGTGAAGTTGAGGTAGTACGACACCAAGAGGGGCAACACCACTCCTGACACCCCCCACACGGCAAACGCTTCTAACGCGGTCCTGGAAAACAATCCCGACACTTGCGGCGACGGCCAGGTGAGGGTGGCGAGCTGGGGGACGTACTGCTTGACACACAGACAGTTCAAGGCATTGTCCTTCAACGGCACCCACGACACGAACGTGTACAAAAACACCACCGCTTCCGCCACCACTTCCAAGAAGTTGAGCGTGACCACCAGCGACAAGTCGTCACGCAACTTGTCGCTCTGGTTGAGCACGGTGATGCCGACGGAGTCGGTGATCTCGTACACCTTGTCCTTCAAGCACTCCCACTTTTCGATGACGGGGTCGGCGATGATGGCCTTCAAGTCAATCGGCGCCGGCCCGTTGTAGTCAATGTCCTCGTTGTCGTTTTCGGCGAATTCGACGTCGATGATGGTCTCGCCGGCCTCCTCCTCCTCGTCGTCGTCGTCGTCTTCGTCGTCGTCCAGCTCGGCAAGGGTGGCGACTTCGTCGTCTTCAGCGACAACTTCGCCGTCATCGACCAAGAACTTTTGCAAGCGTAAGGCGCCGACCTCGCCGTGTTTGTCGACGTAGGCTTCGCACTTCTCGACCAATTCCGACTTTTTGTCCTTGTTCAACACACGGACGTTGACCAGCGTCAATGCCTTGACGAGGTCCAGCTTCTTGTGACTTCTGAAGTCAAGCGACATATGGGTATGGTGGCTATAGATGGGGTTGTTTATTCTCAGGGTGTGGGTTTTTCCGTACTGCATAGGGGACAAACGCGTGGCCTTTGTTTTGTGTTCCAAATCGGGGTGGTCACGTTCATCGCCACCGCCGCCGCCACCGCCGCCGTCGCTAATGTCTAGCCGACACCAATACCTGGCGATTGTTTGGAATTGGTGTCTGATGCGCAATTAGTCGTACAATACCATCTTCAATGGTAATTGTAGTCTCTACGAGCCGCACCCTACTTGCAGGGCGCACGCGGGGTCGCTGTGGGTGAGTCCGTTAGGTTGCTAGTGCGGCGCTCAGACTGCTTCACTTACTCCCGCAGACTGCTACTGTATGGTAGTGCCACCACCAGAGAGACTACACGCGTGAGATCAAAACAACGCCCGAGTTGAGCGCTGAGAGGAACGTCGCTTCATTAATGCTAAAAAACACCCGTTTCATTTACCTTAAAAATTGCACCACTACTACGAAATCCCGCAATTGGCCGCGAGCAACATTAGCAGAGCAAGAATAGTCCCCCAACACCCCTTAAATTCCCTTAAAACTCCGAATACCCCAGCCACTCCAAAAAAAAATATCCGACAACATTTACACCCACTACCAGTCCTCAAACGACTATATAAACTTCTATTAAGCAAGTCTCGTAGTAATCCTAATTCTGTATAACCCGATGGCATCGGTGGCAAACTGCAGGATCATGTCAGTTGTTCTGGCATCGATGGCAAGAGGCTCTTCCTCCTGCACATAGCCGCAGAGAAAAATTCCCTGTGCGATCTCTGTTATTGTTTACCCTAATACCGGCTGCTGTAGCCACTCCTCGCTAACACCGACCCCAGCAACTCGCCAGGTAGACCCTACCACCTTCTATTCCATATCCTCGATCGATGATACGACGAATATGGACCCAGAGCCGCATGCTTTCCGCCACACGAACCCCCGCCATCACCGAGGCCCCGCGCATCAACCCCGTGGGGATCCAGTACCTTTCAGAACAGCTTCAGAACGCTGTGTTTCCTCAGTCGAAAGCTCAGGCGAGCCGCCTCAGTGCCGCTGACAAGAAACGGCTTCGGACCAACGAGCTCTTGTTAGCTCTTGCTAAAGATCACTTGCGCCATCACGAGCTTTTGGGCAAGAAAACCAATATCGGCCCTCCCATCTCGATCAAAAACATGCCCAAGCTCATGGGGAAACTGTTGGATGAACACTTTTGGCGGCTTGGTGACCACCAGAGCCAGAAATACTACAAAATGGCGTCAAAGTTATTCGCCGCTGATCGCGAGCTCCCACCTACGCCAGAGACGTGGCTGATGGAACCAGGATGGACTAGATACGTGCCTGGACAACCACCCGAACCAGTGCTGTTTCCACAGGAGGATGAGCTCATATTTGACGTCGAAGTGTTGTACAAAGTACTGAACTACCCCGTACTCGCCACCTGCGCGTCGCCCGATGCGTGGTACGGGTGGGTGCTGCCACTATGGACGAAAGACAACGTCAAGGAACGCGATTTCGCTCATCTCCTCCCGTTTAATAGCAAGAAACTGCCGAAGCTTCTTGTGGGTTATTGCGTGCTGTACGACCGTGCCCGGTGCGCTGATGAGTACGACATCAAAGCTCTGAAAGCGTTCTACTTGGACGTCATGGCCATGCACATTGCCGTGCTGGGGATCTGTCTGCGGCAACGACCACAATGGTTGAAGCATCATAAGCACAAAAAGATTCTCGAAGAGGACGACACTGGTGAATTCTTTGATCCAGAAAATGAGTACTTGCAACGTGAGCTCAGTGAGGAGGTGGCAAATAACATCATCGACGATCCATGGCTTCTAAAGGGTCTGACAAATTCTCTCGCCAACGTCTATCAGTTCCACTGTGGTAAAGAGTTGGATAAAGACGTTCGCGAGCTCTTCTCTAGTACTGATTTTGAAGATATCCGTCCCCATTTCCAGAAAGCAATGCACTATTGCGCCGGTGACGTCAAGGCGACGTTTGAAGTCGGTCGCCATCTTTGGCCTGAATTCAACCGCAAGACGCCTCACCCGGTGCTGTTTGCTGCACTTCGCCAGCTAGGACTGCTTATATTACCTACAACTCGCCAATGGGAAGACTACATCGCTACTCTGGAGGCCATCTACCAAGATAACCGCCGCCAAGTACTTGAAGTGCTCGAACAACGGGCCCACGACGAGGTGGCATACTTAGAAGATGGGAACCTGCCGGTACCTGACTACGAGAATGACCCTTGGCTTAAACAACTTGACTGGACGCTCAAAGCTCCCCGATTGAAAAAGGATGGTACGCCCTGCAAACGCCAAGCATACTTGACTGGGTACCCTGAATGGTATCGCGAGTTGTGTAAAGGCCAGAAGATCAATATTACTCCGAGGACACGAGTGACGCCGTTGCTTTTGAGACTCAAATGGGAAGGCTACCCGTTACGGTGGACTGATCTGGAGGGGTGGTGCTTTTTTGTACCTGCCGACGCTGTTGAGAGGATGGAAGCGAAGAACTATGCTAAGGCTCAGCTCACGGAAGACGAAATTATGCGGTACTACGACGATTTGCGCCCTCCTGGCCAGTGGTTAGAGGCATTCAAGGTGCCTCACCCTGACGGTGACGGGAAGCGGTGCACGCTGGTACTTTCCAAGCGATTCCTTCCGTACTTTGGCCTGGGCATTCTCACTCTGGAGTTCGGCTACGCCCTGGATATCCTCGCTCTCAACAACGCCGCCCTGTATTGGCAAGGGAACCGCCAACGGATCATCGACCAGTGGGTAGTGTATCAAGCCCAGAAGGGGAAGCCGGAAACAGGTATCATCATCCCCCAGCTTCGCACCATGGGCACCATTACCCGCCGGGCCACTGAAAGTACATGGTTGACGGCACTGAATGCCAAAAAGGACCGTATCGGGCTGGAACTTAAGCTGTTGATTAAGGCGCCTCCCGGGTGGTGTTTCGTCGGCGCTGACGTCGATCTGGAGGAATTGTGGATTGCTCTGTTGCTTGGCGATGCCATTTTGCGGGTTCACGGAGGCACGGCACTTGGGTGGATGACTCTCGAAGGTGACAAGGGTGAGGGCACCGATCTTCATCTGAAGACGGCCAAGATTCTTGGCATCAACCGTAATGACGCCAAAGTGTTCAACTACGGGCGGATTTACGGGGCCGGGGTGAAGTTCGCCACGCAGTTACTCAAGCAGTGCAATCCTAATCTCACTGACGAGGAGGCGCTGAAGACGGCGAAAGCACTTTACGAGCAGACGAAAGGACGCGTGGTGCGAGCGTCGCTGGCGTTCCCTCGCCTGGTGTACCATGGCGGTACGGAGCTGATCATGTTTAATACGCTTGAGCTGATCGCCCACCTCGACGATCCCCGCACTCCAGTCTTGGGAGCGGCCATCACCGATGCCCTCACGAGCAAGAACCTCCGAGCCAACGACTTTATCACCCTGCGGATCAACTGGACGATCCAGCTGCTGGGGGTCGACTACCTCCACTTGCTTATCGTGCTGATGGCGTACCTCATGGAGACTTACAACGTCGAAGGGCGCCTCGCCATCACCGTCCACGACGAACTTCGGTACATGGTGCGGTGGGACGACCGCTACAAGGCGGCGTTGTTGCTTCAGATCGCCAACTTGTGGACGCGGGCGATGTTCTGCGAGCAAGTGGGGTTGCGCGAGGTGCCCCAGCTGGTGGCGTTTTTCAGTGAGGTCGACATCGACACCGTGCTTCGTAAAGAAGTACTGATGGACTGTGTAACGCCGCTGAACCCCACCCCCATCCCTCCCGGAGAGCTGATGGATATTTACAAGCTATTGGACAAGGTGACGCTCCCCGAGCCCAAGGACATTAAGCTCACCCGCCACCGTCCGTACGAGAAGCGGGCGACGACGATGCACACCCTCACCCAGGACGTTGATCGCGACCCCGAGGCGTCGGCGGCGCTCATCGAGTGCCAGAACCTGGTGAATGCCGAGGAGTGGCGCAAGAACATCCGCCGGTACTACCAGGCGAGCCGAACGGGGGACACTGCGAAACGACGACCCTCCGGGGTCGGTACGAAGGCATCATATCCCCCGCGGTCCCGTGTGATCGCCCATTTGGCTCCGCCGCTGGCTCCAGCGATCAAGCATCCAGGTGATTAATCCCACTCTGATTTTCATGGTTACAATCCCCCCGGTTTATGGTTTACTGGTTAGCGTTATAGAGATACTCGTTGGTTGCAAACGACAATTGATGCCAAAATAATTTGTCGGTGCCAACGCATATGGGGGAACTTATACGATTCGAAGGACGGTATAGTGTACATAGAGCCAATCCTACGTTCGAATGAAGATGACACTTATTAGAGTAAGAACTCTCTGATTTGATGTTTAGGTTGTAGAAAAAGTTTAAGTTGGAACGATCAATTGAGATCATATCTAGTTTAACTTGGGATCATAACGAAGTAAAGGGTTCATGCTAGTGCTTGAGATCACTACTGGCTGCCAGTCTATGCGGTGTTCCATCAGGTACATTCCGCTTCTCTTATAGACAGTACCCCCACCGGATACCAATCAAATTTAAAGGACTCGGAGCGGCGGTTTTTGTGGACAAATTAACCGCATGATGAGCTATTTACCAATTATATGATATACATCATCTCCGAGAGATAAAGTGGCAGCATATGGTAGAGCCCTATGTTTTGGCGGTGCCTTTGTGGACGCATGACGTCTTCGCGGCGATCGCCCGATTTCGCAAAATTTGGTGGAACCATCAACAAACAGATACTCTCCGCGGGAATAGGTTTTGAGACCGAAACGTAACCTCTATCGATGCACGGTACGTCCACAAAAGCCCCTCGAGGGGCCAAATGGCGATTTGGAGGGGTGGTCACACAAACACGGTCCAACGACGTTTGTGGCCGCCGTTTATCGCCGAGCGGACCCGGGCAACGGCCAGGCACGGCGATCTTGTGCTCGGCCCACTAAACTGTGTTTTCTTTATGCCACGAACACAAACGCCGCCACATCGATCGCTTCTAACCTAAAGACGGATAGGTGGATAATGGTGGTAGGTGACGTGCCTCATCAATTTTCCCGTTGCAGGCGAATGCCCGTGCCGGCAGGGTGATGACATCGTCCTCACCATTTGCGGACGCAAGTTAAACACAAACAGTACCCACTCTACCGAAAGCAGCCGGCGAGGCAAACACAGAACTTCAAGCACTTGACCGAGTCAAGAAGTACTAGTGGTGTAGACGATAATGTAAAAGCAAAGGGAGACGGTAGCGTTGTCTGGTTATTCTTCTATTGTATGTCTGGCGGTGGGCGACGATGGCCCGAGCTCCTACACAGGCACGGCTATCTTCCAGGTTCGTCGCCCGGGGCTCCGAAGGGCTAAAATTCCAGGACTAAAAGCGGTGGCCGGAACCCGTCGGAAGCTCTCAGGCACGTGTCGGCACCTTACCACAGGTTTACCACTCGGCGGAAATCGTCTAAATGCACAGGAATTGCTGCCCACCACATCAGTGCCGAAAAAAGCTCAACTGTCGGATGGCGAGCCACCATCGCGGGGACAATGCCGCACCCTGCACCTGTTCAATTTAGTGTGTGTTGATGAGTGGACAAATAGCCCCGGGGGTTTTGAGGAGAGAGCAGGGTTATGTGGCTTTGGCTAAGACCGATAGTTGGCGGGGCAACGTGGGGTTTTGTGAGTGTAGGCCATCATTCCTCGATGGGAGGGGGGCAAGGGCTTCTACGTTGCGGCGCTAGCCCACGGGTTGCCACACACGTTGAGCTCGAGCTAAATTCGCTTAACATAGTAGGGTTTGTGATAGGTCTATGGGTAGTTAAAAGAAAATGGCGCAACAGCCGTGGCCCGGCTAACTTGACGGGACAGCGACGGAGATGGCCTCCACAGTGATACGCACAAAATACCTCAAGGCGAAAATGAGGAAGGAGCTGATAGCCACCTTATCAAAGCAGACACCAGAGCCTAGACCACCAAATGGCCACGAATCATGAGTAGAGAGAAAAACGCTATAATCGCTAGCTAGTACGTTGTAGTTCTATGGATATTGCCGACGGTTCCGAGGGCTGGGTGTTGACATGTTTTGGTCGCATGTTCGGCCTGCTGCGTTGGGATGAGGCCGCCCTGCACGATGATGAAAGCAACTGATGAAAATTTTTATCGAGAGAGCCCGGGACGGGGCCCTCGGGGCGACGAGTGGCTAGTACTAGTCGTACAATAACGGGGTACTAGGGTTAGGAGACTAGGGCTAATAACACCACGCTAATGGTAGACCTTTTGCTAGCTCGGGGCATGCCGAGCCGGGGGGAGAGGCGAGAAAAAAACCCCTCATGCTTCCCCCCGGTGGGGAGCGCCCAACGGTAAGGCAGCTGTGGGTGGGCTGCCTGTTATCAAGCGCCGGGAAGAAAATTTGTGAGGTGCGCATATGCCGAGGAAAAACGAGTATATAAGGAGCGGGCGCCCCCTATTTGAGGCTAAGGATTATTCTTTCAAAAGTTCCCATTTGAAGAGGCTTTTTGGCAGTATAACCATTCGGAAACCATGTTGCCCGCTGGTGTGATTCTTGTGTTCGTGTTAATCTTCCTTGCCGGCTGCGCCGTGTTCGCCGTGCTTCTCCGTAACTGGCTCAAGCTGCGCAAGTCGAACCAAAGATTCTAAAGAGACCGTCTTATGGGGATACCAACCTCGCTTGAGTGAATCCTGTTGATTGAATAATTGAATGGGGGTTGGTCCCGTTCATTAAGCCGTCTGCTATCGCCTATAATGCCTGTCTTTCAAATGTTATTTCTTATGGGAATGGGAAATAAAATGGATGTCTTGAGGGATAATTCTTCACCTTTTTTTTACTTATATATGGCTGGTGGCCTTGGGTCGCGGTTGGGGAACTGCGCTTAAGGTTCGCTGGGTGTATAACCTTGTCAATTGGGGAATTGACAATACATGTTTCTTAAAAATTCGTGTTTGTACCACTGTTTGTATTTTGGAGGGGGGACCCGCTTTGCCCCCCTTGTCGACGCTCAGGTTACGCAGCCCGGCACTCGCGCACCGGGACTGCCGCACCACAAAAACCCTGCCATGCAATGTTTATGACGCATTGGTATGTTTAGTAAACTCACGCTAAAGTCCGCGTCGCCCCGGGGTCGCCCGGCGGCGCCCACGGCCGTTTCTCTACTGTATACCTATCTACCGGGCCGGTCGCCGCCTTCACCGTCCCCGTCGGCGCCGCAAAATCAGGTTAGCGCCGAACTCGCGCGCGGAGATCAGCGGCGCCCGGCGACCGGCGCTTAACGCGCTAGGTAGGCGCTAGGCGCTAGGCGCTAAGGCGCTAAGGCGCTAAGGCGCTACCGCCACAGGCCTCTAATCATCGGCAGGCTCCTGGATCCACCACAGCTGGACCCACCCCAACGCCGCGATCGCCGCAAGCACCCACCACATCAACCACCCCCGGGCAATGTTGTCGCCGTAGCTCATGATGTAGCCAAACACCACGGGGCCGAGGCACCGCAGAAGCGCGAGCACCGAGATGGTGGTGCCGTTGACGTAGGCGCGATGGCTCGGCGCCGCCAGCCGGTGGTTGAGCAAGGTGATTTGAGGGACCCCCGTCAGCGACGCAAGCGTCTTAAGCAGGGTGAGCGAGTACAAGAACACCGGCGTCACCCACCGCGGCCACCCCAGGTAACCGGGAAGCGTGAATATCGCCAACGGCACCAACAAGTAGACAACGGGGAAGAGCGACACCAGCGCCCGGTACGCGCGCACGGCGCCCCACCGCTCGGTGATATAAGGGAATACCGCCACCACCACCACCATCCCCATGAGCCCCGTCAGCGAGAGTAAAGTGCCGATGCCGTCCGTAGTCCACCCTAGCCCACCGGAGATCGTCCAGGGAAATTTGATGGCGCCGGGGTCAAACTGGCCCGCTAGGAGCACGGGGAGGAACTCGTTGTAGATGATGCCGTGGGTGGAGATGATGGCGTTGCCCATGATGATGGTGATCACCTGAGGAGTAAAGGCGCCGGTGTAGTCGATGTGGAACAGCGGGCGCGGCAGCGGGGGGCCCAGCGCAAT